ATCCCATTCCAGGATGCCCCGGACATCGAGAGCGATAAGACGTCGTAAACTCGCGGTCCCCGATTAAATCGGCCATTGGTAAACGCGCGAATCATCGGCATATTATCATTATCAATTAATAACCTCGTTCCATTGGTCGCGCGTCCGCCCACTCAGATTGGCCAACGAGGTTCTCGAAGGCTGATAATTGCTAAGCTTCTCTTATCGCGACTCGCCGTGTAAGGCCCCTCGTGGGCCTGGAGGTCGTTGAATGGATAATAAAACAAATAGTTAAGTAAATAATCAATCGAAAAATTAATTCCTACCGTTATGGGCAAAATGTGGGGAAACATCCTTATTGTCGACTTCATAATGATGGGATGGTGATCGATTGGGAATAATTATCGATGACTTCGAGGGGGGTCACGAACGCCCGTGGGCACCGAGGAATAGATACGAGCGAATCGCTTATGGCGCGAACCCGAGGACTCGCCTACGCTCGCGCGAATCCTCCATATTAAGAGCCCCACGTGGGATTATGTAGGGCAGGCTGCGCATTTATTTAGGAGGAAGGACCAAGGATCCAGGAGGCACGCGGAAGGATGCCAAGGACGAGATCCAGAGAGTGATCTATCCATCCCCGTCTATCCATGCTCGACCAACTCCCCGCCGATCTATCCCGCGGGCCGCGAGTAATGTTATCAATCCGCGACTCCTTTCGCGGTACTTGCAAATCAATTAATTACCTCGGAGTCCTTGCAACACTCTCCCTGTCCGGAATCCTCGCGATCGACACAAAGGTCGAGTTAAATCGAATTAAACCGGTCGTCGGTTTTTCTCCCGGTAGCGGGCTTCTTATATCCTCGCAACAAAGTATCCCCCGGCAGTAAGGACGCATTACTCGGAGCGATAAGGACCTTGTCGATATTAATATGCAAGTCAGCCCTCGCCGATCCTTCTTTTGTCGAAAGGACCTGTTCGTTTTCTTTCGTTTTTTTTTTTCCCTTCCTTTCGTCGCTCCTTTCATCGGCAGCGCCGATTTGCGGCCGCCCTCGAAATCGGTAGTCGTCCTTGGTTTCCTTTTTATTTTTCATTTATTTTTTCTCCCTCCCTCTCTCTCTTTTTTCTCTTTTAATTATCGTCACGCATTTCGCTCGACTTTTATGGAGGCGCCTATTGGGAGCGAGGGTCTCCGTCGGTCTCGTCCGTATCCGGTCGAATTTACCGGCCCGGAAGCCAATTGTCGGCGCAATTGCGTGTCCGGTCGGCCGACCGGAAGTGGGCGTAAGAGGACACCGGAAGCGGGGAAGCGCGAGCGCTCTCTTTGGGAAAAATCGAGACGCGTGACCCGATCAACGGCAGCGATCGAAAGTCGATCCGCGATCGGGATTATCGGGCGATCGCTTTCTTCCCCCTCCCCTCCCTCCAGCCGATTAATTCGCCAATTAATCACCGGTAATCGGGCCTCGCCGACTAATTGGACCGTGGATCCGGCGTGAGATCGCGAGATCTCTTTCCCCCTCGTGGCTTTCCGTCACGGGGAGAAATCGTTTCCTCGTTTTTTTTTTCTTTCCCCCGCTTCGCGAGAAATTAATCTCCCGACTGCAGAATGCCCGAATTCCGGATTTCATCCCCGATGATCGTCTCCGGCAAAATTTTCGGGGATCTCCAATGAGTCCCTTTTAAATGTATAAAAACGACACGAAGAGTAACACTTTTTTTATTCCTCCCCTCTCTTTGCCATCCTCCGCCGTTCTTGCAAGCGAGGAATCAATTCCCGGGCCGAAACGCTTCGAATTTTGAATTCCATATCCGGTGATTGTTTCCTGATAACGTTGCGAAGGTCTTCAATGAGTCCTTTTTAAATTCAGGGAAATGGACGACTTAGGAATGATTTTTTTCTTATTTTTATTTCTCATGGGGGTTTTTCCTTCCGGAGGAATTTCGAGGAGAGGAGGGACCGTGCCGAAGTTGGTTTATAGGTTAGGTGCGCTTCTCGGGATGCCTTTTGTCTAGCCCAAGGCAGCGGCCAATCCCGAGCCATACAAGGAGCCGTAATTTTCTCAAAAGAAAGAGCGCCGAGCGTTCTCTCACCGAGGCTCGAGAGCTGGCGCCCCTTTATTCCCCCATAAAGTCGAGTGAATTTTTTTGGCAGCTCCTTTCGAGGGCGGCCATCTTTTGTTTCCAGACTACATGGTGCGCCAATGGTGCAACCATAACTCGAAACCTCGGTTCATCTTCTGGGTGGTGCTACCAGAAGCGCCGCCCAGTCTCTTCTCTTGGTCCCAACCTTCGCCGACCTTTTCCTCCTGTATAAATCCCCTGAAAATCCCGTGTCTAGGGGAACTAATTCCTATGAAAATTTCCAGAACCTCCCCATCGACCCCATTTAACGGCGGGTTCGCTCCCACAGGTGAAACTCATGGGAGTAAAACCTGGAAAATTGCGAGAAACTCCGAGAGGCTCTTCCCCGGCCGCGTTACTACGCACTCTGGGGAGTAATCTTCTCATAGAGAAGAAATTCCCCCGTTTTCAAATTCCCGAGAAATTGCTCGGCCTCTTTCGCTTTGATTCCTCGCCGGGAGTGCTTTATGGACGGATAAAGCGCCCTGGAGGAATCAAATCGTCGGGTTTATTCCTCTCGATGTCGAGCGCAGTCCATGAGGGGGACCTTGGGGGAGAATGTCAGAAATTCGGAAAATTCTCACCTGGAAGAAAATGCCAAGAATGAAGGGTATTTTTTTTTCATTTTTTTTTTCTTCCTTCCTCGTCGCACTTTTTACTCCGCAGGATTTATTCGCTCGATTTGCTCGTTCGTTTAATTCCAGCAAATTGCCCATCTCGAGGTAGGGAAGAGCGATTTCAAGCCTCGGGAGAGAGATCGGCTTTTTTCGAGCCGAACGAGACGCTTTCGTGCCGACGACGTAGCTCGCGATCTCACGACCAATTACGAAGGGGGCCACGCACTCGGAGATATCCTGCCCCCTCGGAAATTGTCATCCTGGGACGACTTCCAGCGCGAAATCTCGCGAGTCCGGCACGCGAAACGCGCGGCTTTCATAACGAGCGAAAGTGACGAGCGCAATGGAGGAGACGCTCGTCGGTACACGCGAGTCAATGCACGTCTCTCTCCGTCAGCTCACTTGAATCGGCATTGCTCGGTAAAAACGACGAAATTTGCCGGAGAGATCGACTCTGCATCGAGAAAGATCGATCCCATAAAGAAACAAGCTCCTACGAGTCGCGACTGGCAAAGAAACCCCGATTACCGCCCCCAACCCTCGAGATACGAGAAAACCCCTCGGACAAAACTGCTAGATAATGAATCAAGGAACAACTTTCGTCTGAGCCACTTCTCCGTACCACGCACAGGTACGTCGGAAAATCCGCGATTGCCCCGGCGGACCACGTGTACTCAGGTGCGTCTGAGGTCGCACCCCGCACTCGCTACCCTCCTTTTCTTCGGGTATCTCTCGAGATGGAGGAAAATGTCTCGTATAAAAGTTATGGGGAATCGCGAGGGGAATATTTTTCATTTGGGTGGTTTTCCCCTATCTCGCGCGGTTTCTCCGGAATGTCGCCTCGAGTGTCGTCGACGACGACCTGGGCGGCGGGAATCGAGGTAGAGCGTGGTGGGTGTGATGGATGCCCCGAAGGATGCTTCGCGATCCCCCTCGGGAGATAACAGATCCTGCCCACGTTACAGGGGACCCTCTCGTACGTGAAAACCCGCCGGGTCCGGGGACGCGCCTTAACCCCTTTCGCGCATAATGATGAGGCTTCGTGGAAAGTGAGCGGCACGCCTCTCGAGATATGCCGATGAGCTTCCGCGGCCCGGCTGAGAGATGTCCTCGACACTTGGACAATGCAGCCCATCCTCCCTCTTCAGGGCGTGTTTATTTCGAAACGGGGTCGGCGAACCCAAAGACGGCGGCCCCTTTTGAAGTCCCAACAAAAAAAAAAACCACCGTCAAAAAATGCCCGTCAATTTTCTGACCCACCGCGCAAATTCCACGAAAATCATCGCTTTAAATTTTACCATCCCACAATTCGCACGATTTCAATTGATACGCAATCATTGTTACCACACCGTCGAGTCTCGGATGTTACGACATTCGGAGGATCATTCCCTTATTTCATAGGGAATTTTTTTAAATCGGAACTCATCCTATACCGATCGCCGGGTAAAATCTTCCCGTGATTCGTGAATTCATCGCACATTTTTAGGAAAATGATGAGGGAGGTTAACAATTGAAGAAAATATTATTTAGGAGCAAGAAATGCGTAATATTACTAATTAATTAGGAGGTGTATAAATAACAGTCGGGGGGTATTTCTGGAGCAGGTGGAGATAAATAAAAGATGAGCAGGTGATATGTGACTCGGGCCTCACGTCGGTGGCTAATTTACGGGAATTCCCCCTCAAAGGAATTTACAGAATTTACTCCGGCGATGAATTATGCGTCCCCCGTGGTTTGCTCTACTTATTGCTCGGCATCCTAAGGAATCTCCCCCCCTGGGTGTCCTTTTCACTCCCAGGACGAATTCTCTTTCGAGTTTTTCCTCCCCTCGCCGGTCTCCCAATCGGCCGGACGAGTAATGCGATTTAAATGGCGCGCCATTTAATTAGGCTCCACCTCGTCCCTCGGATATAAGTAATTTTGTTAAAAGTGCTATTAAAGGCCGCGTGAAATACGTGCGTGACCGGCAATCACGAAGTCGGCACACGCGATTTATACATGACAGTGCCATGGCAAATGATCCTCGCGACTAAGGACACGCGATCCTTAGAGAGAACGCTACGTCAGTTATCCTTGATCACTTTTTTATTTCCCACGATTTTTCAATTCGAACGCACTTAACCTCCGTCAAAAGTCTCTGAATAAAACACCCGACTTGTCCCGATTTAATATATTAAACCTTTTCCTTTTTCAACCGAACACGCGTGGGATAAAAAATTAATATTATGTTTCATCTGAAAAATTGGATATAAAAAGGGATGTTTTTTTTATTATTTCCAGGCCACAAGGAAGATCTCGAAATGCGGCTACCTCTTCGTCGCTCCAGGATGGGACTTCTCGAACCCCCTCAACAGGACCAAGGTCAGGATTCGATTTCACATTGATTTTCTATAAGCGATCTATATCGATATTATTTTTATTTTTTTATATTTTTTTTGTCTGGAATATTTTCTGCCATTTTAATTGGCAGGAAAATGGAAATATTCATTTAGGTGGGGATCGAGGAGCGACTCTCTCGCGCAGAACCGCGCGTGTTATCGAATCGATTTATCGATAATGACCCCAGTGATATGCACTTAATATCGGAAACATTGCCGACAGCTCGTTCGATCGATCGGCGCGGCCCGAGAGGTCGATTGACGAGCGATCGACGGCTATTCCCACGGTGATCGGGATCCAGGGGTTCTCCGCGGGTAGAAATCGAAAAGCGGAGGTATCGATTGATTCCCGATCGGGGAAACTTCTCCCCCGGGAGGCTCGACGAGTCGGTCGAGGTGAAAACTAGGAAAGTCGCGGCCCGAGGGGATGCTAATCGGCGATTCCCGATTATCGATTGCCGACCGATCGTCTCCATAATGGAGGCGACGAAGATCGGCGCAAGGTTGCCGGCGATGTGTCGGGATTAAGAAGCATCGGCGATCGGCGATGCCCCCAATAAAAATGCGCCGATCGATCGGTCGATCGGCCCCGCCAATCTAGCCGCGAGAGATCGACAGCCGTTCCCACGGTCGTCGAATCTCACGTTTTCCCGCGAGCCGATCGGTCCGATTGGCGCAATTGGTTTTTCGAAAATCGATGAGCGCGTCGCGACCTTCTCGAAAATTGATCGACGGAATTGGCGCCTCCTCGGGAATCGATCGGTCGATCTCTTCCTCGCTTTCTAGCCGGATGCGATTTTTTTTTTCTCAAGTTTTACGGTACCGATACATGATGATTTTTTTTATTAAATACTGGGAAGAGAAAAAACTTCGAAGGGGATTTTTCGAGAATTGGAAAGGCGCCCCGAGGGACCGATCTCGTGCCGATCGGTCTCGTAATGGCGCGCCTCTACGTGACGGCGATCGACGTCGATCGATCGTCAAACGAGACGTCGGGAATCAAGGGACGCCGATCGGCGGAGATCGCGCACGACTCGCCAGGCAATTCCGCTTATTATCGAGAAAGCAGCGCCGATTTATCGCGACTTATCCGCGAGTCGATTCGCCATGGCCGGCGAGAGGGGAAGAGAGGCACTTTCGCGGCTCGCTCGCGAATAAAAGAAAGTCCGCGCCGATTGGTCGCGCTTTATGCCGATATTTTCACATCGTGTCCGATCATCGATTATCTTCTAGCCCGTTATTTCGAATCGCGTGAAACCACCCACCGAAAACGTGTCCTACAAATTTCAAACATTTTTTTTTAACTTCTTCACCGTAACTCCTGGATTATTTCTTTTTGGCTTAATTATTCGTATGTCAATCTCGGATTCGAGGTGATTTTTATATCAGGTGGGGGTTTCGATTACTAGAGATTGATTTTCGTGGTTGAGGATATTCTGGGGATGGGTATGTATAGGGTTGCTCCTGAGGTTTCCTCTGAGGTTCCACCCGAAGTTCCACCCGAGGTTCTCCCCGAGGTTCCACCAGAGGTTCCACCAGAGGTTCCACCCGAGGTTTCACCCGAGGTTTCCTCCGAGGTTCTCCTCGAGGTTCTCCTCGAGGTTCCACCTGAGATTCTACTCGTGGTTCTCCCCGAGGTTCTCCCCGAGGTTTCACCCGAGGTTCCCCCCGAGGTTCTCCCCGAGGTTCCATCCGAGATTCCCCCCGAGGTTCTCCCCGAGGTTCCCCCCGAGGTTCCCCCCGAGGTTCCACCCAAGGTTCCCCCCGAGGTTCCCCCCGAGGTTCCACCCAAGGTTCCCCCCGAGGTTCCCCCCGAGGTTCCCCCCGAGGTTCCACCCAAGTTCCCCCCGAGGTTCCACCAGAGGTTCCCCCCGAGGTTCCCCCCGAGGAGGTTCCACCCAAGGTTCCCCCCGAGGTTCCCCCCGAGGTTCTCCCCGAGGTTCTTCCGAGATTCCCCCCGAGGTTCCCCCCGAGGTTCCACCCAAGATTTCCATCCACCCCGACATTTCCTTAAGGCGGTGCCCATTGGCTCGCAATTAGCGTATCACTTTCGCCGACCGTTGTCGACGGTCGCACGAGAATCCAGTGAGAGTCCAGTTACGAGACCCTGAAGAGGTGGCCACCCAGCAGACCGCTTTCTACGGCTTTGCCCTGAGGGGCCGGCACTCGTGAACGCACCTTAAGAGGAGTCAAAGGAAAACCGCGGAAATTTCGAAAGAACTCGAATATTAACGAGAAGGCTCCACTTCCCAAATGATTCCCATCCCACCTGAAAATATTATTCCATACGGATTCGTTAAAAATATTAATTTATTCACCTACTAAGTTTCCAGGCATTTTTTGAAAATTCTGCCGACGCGATTAATATCAGACTTTGTTCAGCTTGAAAGCTTCCTTGAGCCTAAAACTTTCTATCTCAAACGTTTCAGCGAAACTCTCTAACGCGATATGTAAAGATCATATTTTTTCATTATGGTTTTACGAATAGTTAGTATTTTTTTTGTTTTGTTTTAGGGAAGTAAGAAATTACATACCTAAACGTTGCGACGTGGTGTCATGTCGAGTCTTCGAGCACGGTCGATAAACGCGGACGATCCCATTGAAGAGTAGAAACAAAGTGAGCCCTCTCCTCTCTGATTAGGCCCGAATTCCTGAAATTTATAAAAGAAACGAGGACAATGTCAACAGTTCGCGTCGATGGCCCTCAAGATGTAAATAAACCGATCATACGCTCAACGTCGGTGGATACGTTTCCAAAACGATTCGAGTTACCTCGCCACAGTGTATACATGATTGAACATTTACTCGCGTTATTTATCGTTGGTAGAAATTATCATGCACGTCAGGTATGATCATAGAGAGCGACGCATTAAATGGCACTGCACAGTTCATTGCGTTTCTTGCGACTATTAATTTGGAGAAAGTACCCGAGAAAGAGTGAGAGAGAGAGAGAGAGAGCATCGCATCGCCTTAAAGAGACGAGCAGCTTTTTATTGCAAGTGCGTGGCAGGAGCTACGAAGTGAAAATTTGTAGAGAGTGAAAAGAGAGGAGAAAGACCGGGAAAGGGAGAAAATGTAGGGAAGAAGTAATCGGGGCAAGCGGGAAAAAATTCACTTTCCTATTTTCCGTATCATTTTTTTTTTTATATATATGTATATATAAGGAAATGTTCCAAAAGCTGAGTAAAATATGGCGTCCCTTTTTAGCCTCGTTCATTTCCCCCTCCTCGTCGGTTGCCTTCGGTTCCCGAAGAGAGATTTCGCTCTCTTTTCTTGTGGGATCTAACGCCAGGACGCTTTCTCGATAATCGATCAGCCTTTGCCCATCGCAACGGCGATCGCCGATATTAACCTCATTGTTTGCAAAATAGATCGAGCGCTAATCACAGGGCGGGTCCAGGGACGAGATCTGAATCGATAAGGCATAAAATACGCATAAACGGGCGAAAATCGCCACAGCTCTCTAAGAATCAAGTCCTCACATTGGACCGATAAGGCCCCATTTCCTTCTATCAAAAACCTTTCCTACATTTTTTTCCCTAATTTTTCCTTAAATCATTTAAGGTGATGTGAAAGTGGCGTCGAAGAGGTTTTGTTTATAAAACTTTTCTCCCAACTCGGTTTACCGAATAGTTTGAAACGTTACAACGTGAATAGGGAGACTATAAGGAAGGTCCTGAAACTCATGAAACTTCAATTTTTTTTTTCAAATTTGTTTATAGGTATTTTTAAAATAGTTTATAAAAAATGAAAATTCCCGAGTTTCAGGACCTACCTTAGAGTTTCCATATTCACGTTTTAAAGTATGAAACGATTTGAGACCCCCAGTTCGTAGAACAGTTTTATGAACGATTGAGCTTTCGGATGCCACTTTCACATCCCCTTAACCCTTTCGTTACCTTGGACGAGATATCTCGCGACCCAATACTGGCCGATTAACGCTTTTGACGAGATATCTCGCGACCCGATAGTGGCCGATCAACGCTTTTGACGAGATATCTCGCGACCCGGTAGTAGCCGATCAACGCTTTTGACGAGATATCTCGCGACCCGGTAGTAGCCAGTCAACGCTTTTGACGAGATATCTCGCGATCCGGTAGTAGCGGATTAACGCTTTTGACGATAATTTTTGACTGTATTTATTTCTTCCTTTTAGCTTATACGAATAGAATTAGTTATAAAATATATTCATCTAGAATGTCAAAATATTGGCGCTAGAAAGCTAGATTATCTTCAAAAGCGTTAATCCGCTACTACCGGATTGCGAGATATCTCGTCAAAAGCGTTGATCGGCCAGTATCGGGTCGCGAGATATCTCGTCAAAAGCGTTGATCGGCCAGTATCGGGTCGCGAGATATCTCGTCAAAAGTGTTAATCGGCCAGTATTGGATCGCGAGATATGTCGTCCAAGGTAACGAAAGGGTTAAGAGGGGTCTGAAAACAGACAAGAAGGGTGAGGGGGGGCGCATTCCCTGGGTCCTCTTCGGGGCCTTAAGGTCCCTTGCACAAAGATGGTGCAAGGCCCCCCTCTCGGTGGCGTTAGCCGTGAGTCATCAGGCTCGATTATGCCGGCTGAAAATAAATCCGCGTACGCGAGGGGCCCGATACACGCGGGGCCCGTGGCAAAAATGGCGAAAACAATGAAAGCAGTCTGAAAGTCGTAAAGCTATAAGTGGCCGCGTTCGACTGGCACACAAAAGCGCTTATATAGCGTGGTATAAACGCACGGGCCCTAGCGGGCCCCCTTGACCCCTTTGAACCCCTTCGGGCGATCGCGGGCCCGTTGGGTCCCATCGGGCCCGGTAGGCCCCTCGACCCCCTTCCGCGAACCCAGAGATACGCCGGAATGTCCATAAGGCCCCAAGGAAGAGAGAGAGAGGGGGATTCGACGAGAATTATTGTTCCCATCCGCGGACACCCTTCAATCCGCACCGGCCGTATCGCCCGATTAAATCCGACGCGGGATTTATTCCCCTCGCGAAT